TGATGTCAACCACTTTTGTATAAATACTCAACAATCTTCCACAGATGCAGCTTGTGACAGAGATCAATGCAGTTGGCTCGCGGCTCGTGCTAGACCGTCGAAATCCGTTTTCCAGTAGTTGTAAGCTGGCTTCAGCAGACTTGAATACGGCAAAGGTAATTCCATACCAACTAAAAGCACTGAGTGGCTACTTTTAGGCAGGGAATCCAGGATCCCAATGTCATGCACTCATTGTTCGTAGCTTGTTAATATCGGGTCGAGACAGAACGGGGTTGAGCGTGGTCGTATACGTGTTGGCTAGCATATGTGTTTCGATGCACCAGTTTCAAGTATCAAATGCACGAACTTTGCTTCAACCTCACCGTGTCAGGGCATCAAATGTATGTCAGGCCAACGTATTCGAAGACAGTTAAAATCACCCATAAGTAAAAAGTGTGGACGACTCATATGGTTTCAAAGATTGGGCAGCCATTCCAAACACCGTTTCAGGAGGCTGCAATAGACTACGCCCATAAGTAGCTCTTCGAGCCTGAGGTGGATGGAGCACCAGAGTAACTAACACAAACCATCGTCACTTCGGTAGGTGCTCATAAGTCTCCCACGCTAGGAAGACGGGATACAGAGCAAGACGCCATCGTGGGGCATTCGTTAATTTATCACAGCGGAAGCACGAGTGACCGCTAATTTCAGTTTCCTTGATGTATACCTCTGATTGCAGCCATTTCCTTGCGAGTCCCACTACGTCTGGCATCTCAAACGCAACAAAGCGATCGAGCTCATCGCGGTTGTTCATAAGACTTCAAACGTAGGTAGAGTCTATACGCAGGCTGCAGCAGGAACCGCAGGAGGTGCTTGAAACCTGAACAACCTTTTTATCCTGATTCGCAGATCCTTGGAAACCAACCGAAAATTTACGATATAGAGATTTGTTTTCTCCTCACCAGTACGTCTTTTCAGCTCAATGATGGCAGTCTTGAGCCGCTCCCGGTCTACTAGGTCCAGCTCTGGACGAACATGGAGCTTCAACCCTTTCAGCCTACTTGGGCTGGACATGATCAGTCTTGGACTAGCTTCGTCCACAAAAGTGATTCTAATAGGCCGATTTCGTTGATCACCTTGCTTTCCAAGACGGGTACTTTGCCTCACTTTTACCGAGTTCTCACCAGCGTCGAGCAGTCTTTCAATTAAGCTCCGTAAACCTTGACATTGCGATCGTAGTGCACTTGGGGTGATAGATCACTGGACTCCGGCGCGTGGAACGTCACTAGGTTATAACGCCTCTGGTCAGACAAGGTTGGCCTTGTAGGGTGAAGTATATTACGAGCCTCACGTGGTGTGGTTAGCTGTTGACTTAGCGAAGTTAAACTCCCAACATTCTTTGGTAAATTCGTCCTTTGTTCTTTGCACTGGTCTTCAGCATTCAGGCTTTCACGCACTGCTCGTAGGACACAACAAAGGTAAACAATCTATGCCAGGTGAAACTGGGCTTCTCAAAACGGCTGGACTTTGTGCCGGTGCGTTTGCACGGGTAGAGGTGGAAGACTGAGCTGAAACCTGAAGGCTCTTCGGGCTAGGTTGTTTGGACAAACACACGGAGCTGTTCACAATGAGTTGATAAAGCTGGCTTGCCGAATAACCTCCTCGTGGTGCCAGCTGGATGGTTCGGGATTGTCCCGTTCCAGCGAATGGTTCGGCGTCAGTGTTCCAGGACGTGGTGGCTTTTCGCCTAGCAAGTGTTCTCCCTATAAAAAGCCACATATGTCCGTTTAACAGCACTGTGACGTGGCGAACATGACTCGCCATTAAATAAAGTCACTACCCCTTTCCCTTCTCTCACCGGCATTGTAATTCAAGGGTGTGTTGGGCCCCTGGTCCTTCACAAACCGAAAAGCGCATGAACCAATTATTTGGTCACCGGCTCCCAACGGGTTGCGACGACCTCACATCGCCCTGCTGCCTTTTAGGTTAGGTCATTGATCAAAGGCTCGGGGTAGCGCCCCCTAAGACAATCCTGGAGTGTCGGTACTCGTCCCCATCTTCAAAAAGGGCATGCGCACAAAGCGCTTCAATTACAAGGACATAAGTTTGGTTCCCATCGTTTGCAAGATTCTAGTGTCCATCATACTTCGCAACCTATCACCAACGCGTGAATCACTACAGCGAGAAGAACAGGCAGGGTTCCGCCCTGGTCGCGACTGCATCGATCAAATTTTCACACTCCGCCAGATTCTCGAGCTTTGCCATGTGTATCAAAAGCCAACGATTGTTGTGTTCCTGGATATCCGTGATGCCTTCGATTCTGTCGACAGGGCTGTATTGTGGTACTGTCGGTTGAGGAATGATGTTATTGGTAAGTTCGTTTCCATTCTGCGTGTTCTGTATAGTCTGACCTCGGGTAGAGCTAGGGCTTATGGCAAACGTTCGCCTTCTTTTGTTGTCACCACTGGGGTTCAACAAGGATGTCCTATCTCTCCATTCCTCTTCAACTTTGCCATTGTAGATGTCCTCAAAAATACTCTAAAAGACTTGTTGAACACTGGGGTTGAGCTCGTCCCAGGTACTCGGTTGGTTGATTTGGATTACGCTGATGATATCGTCTTGTTGGGTGACGATCCGCATGCCGTCCAACTTGCATTTAACCGCCTGGCGATTGAAGCGTCGAAGTATGGCATGCACTTATCGCCATCCAAGTGAAAGCACTTTTTTAGGACTGGTATACGCCCCTACCTGTACGCACCATCGATGGGGAAATGTTAGAATTAGTACAGCGTTTTGTCTACCTGGGAAGCTGCATGAGTACTGGTGGGGATTTTGGAAACGAGATTTCTATGTGTCTCGCCTTCTCCAGGCTGAGGCATTTATGGCGCCTCCATGACATCCGTCTCTCTATCAAAGGATGGGCTTATATTGCTACTGTCCGCGCTGTACTGTTGTACCGTTGCGAGACTTGGCCTGCTCGTACCTATGATCTACGTCGACTATCTGGCTTCGAGCACCGTTGCTTGCGGTCCATGGCCCGTGTGTGGTGGCTGAACCACGTAACCAACGCTGAAGTCACACAGCGCGTCTTGGGTGGAGTCAGCCACTCCCTCGAGGCGCTTATCCCGCTCCGCCAACTACCATTGCTCGGACGCGTACTGCGTATGCCCGTTCAGCGTCCTCCGCGTCGTGCCTTGTTCGCAGTCGCCGGACAGGGTTGGAGGAGGCGGGGTGGTGGATAGCCTACAACTTAGGAAACAGGATGAAAAAGCTGACGAAACACCTGGCCACTGTTGGTTCCTCCTGACTCCGTGGATGGGGTCCCAAGGATACTGCGTGCACTTGGTTGGAAACCTTGGAAGTCATGGCTCGAAACCGAACTCAGTGGCGGGTATGTATCTCTACTTGTTACAGTGATTCCCCTTCCCCTCCCCAAGAAAAATACGTAAAAAATAGTCAAAAACTATGATTGGAAAAATGGACAAAATAATTTTATCTTCTTTCTTCTTTTGCACTAACCTTGTTTTATGCCATGGTCCTGATGGCACAATATCTGTACACAGAGTGATATATATATATATATATATATATATATATATATATATATATATATATATATATATATATATATATATATATATATATATATATATATATATATATAAAGTCGGCTTTACTCTTTCCGGGTGTATCTTGTTTCGGCAAGTTTCACATAAAGTCTGAACAAAAGCGTGTTGGATTTCACGAAGACAACGAAAATCCTCAACTGATAGTCCAACACAAAAGACACATGAGAGCATTTGTACGATATCCGACTATCTTGGATCAAGCACCACAGGGTGATTGCTTCGGCACTGTACCTATTTACTTGCACTTATAATCAGGTGTCTTAGAGGAAACGACGAGCATGTGTCTCCAGGCTACTCAGTGATAATCGAACCGCTACCATGTTGCGTGTTGCATTTCATGACGACCAGCAGGGAAAAGTATCTCACCGAAGAGTACATTGGATATGTGTACTTACGTTTCGTCCACTCAGTTCGACTGGGGTCACACATTTTGTGGTATACTTTGTGCTCCGGTAGGGTTGCTCTGAAACAGACCGTTTCCCCACTCGCACAGTTTTGCATCCATTTCATACCGGAGTGGGACTCAAAACACCGCAATGACCAACGATACCAAATGTAGACGTGCTGGGCAATCAGTTCGTCAAGTCGCGCCATTCGACCGGGCCGCTACTGAGAGAATTCGACCAAAATACTCTCACACACAACGCTGTATCGCGGTCGGTCCCTGCAACATTGATTCACTTAGGTAACAAACATAAAATTGTGTTGCTTGGCGCTCCCCTACGATGCTACTTCCGTAATTGGGTGCTTGAACGATTTTGAGCACCCAAACAAGTTCACACTGACAGGATGCTTGACAGTGAATCCGGAGTAAATATGGCCCTAAGTGAAAACACGGTTCCTTTATACTGTTGATTATGTTTCAGTGGAGTTTGCGCTTGTGGCCAAGGCGGTGGTCCAGAGGCCTTTACGTTCAACATGATGACGGAGATAGTCCCTCGTCTTTACGTCGGCCAGCGCAGTTCGATTAGTTGCGGTTGATGACTGCTCAATAAAATCACACCCAAGGCACACATAGTTACCTTCCTGCTAGGCCCAATTATGTTGCTCCAAACATTTGGTTGTTGTTTTACGCATTCTGACCGCTTTCTTCGCATTGATTTCATCGTCAGCGCAGAATTCTGCTAAATTCATGTATCAAAAAGTGGGCAAGCAGCACAAATTGGGGAATTCTCCAAGTTTAAATCAGTGATTGTATATATCAACCTAGCGTTCGCCGCAGAAATCCGCTCAACTAGCTGAGCCCCACCTCTCCCGGTTAGTGATCAGGGAGCAATGCTCACTGGCTCAGCTGGTATAGTATTTTGTTTTTTAAAGCTCCACCGATAGATATACGATACGGTTGTGCTTATTAGCTTTCCCCGTATTTTGGTTTACTTTCCCATCTCGCAGGTCAAATTTCAAACCTGATCATTGGAGAATCTCAGCAAACGTCTGAACCTGACTTGGAAACAATGAAGAATACGGACGATGTGTGTCAAGCGAACGATCTACTGAGATTGTGTACAACGCCGTACATCACCGCGGAGTGAGTGTTATAGACCCACAGCGAATGTTTCGTTATCCTTATGTAGCGTTTAGCTTGGCTAATTTAGCATCATCAGCGGCTTGTACACTAACAAATCGCTACTTAGCTCCCATGTGCGTGTGTGTATGAAGACACAGAGTCCACAGACTGGCCTCAGCCATTAGACAGAACACAGACGATAGAGGTGTTGGTTTCATCCCTATAATTGACAGCTACTCCTACCAAGATGGCCAATGGTTAGAAGTCGGACGAACTCAGTCTACTGGTCCTCCAGGTTGGGGGTTTAAAATGGGTTGGCGTCCATCTATGTGAAACCAAATCATTGCCACATCCACTGCTTCGCGGACAAGCTTCTGAGTCAAAAACTTTGGTTGAGGACTTTAATTGTCCTCCTGTATAGGTCTGGGCGCTCTGACAGTATCTCAGCCCACAAACAACCACTAAAAGTTCTTCAAACTGCTACCACATTTGACATTAGTCGTCGCACGGATCAGTAAGGGTCGCCTTATCTGCTGTATATAGCAGGGCGGACAAGCGAAAACACGCTAATATTGGCACTTCCATTCTTTCATTGCCACCTATTTGTCGAACACCCATTCCAACCCACAGTACTAGAATTCCGTCTATAATTACCAGCTTAGTTGACAGCAGCCGTAATGCCACTGCAGCCGAACCATCTGCAACCACCTTCGCGTAATGCCCACAGGACACCTGTCGGCAACAGCCCCTATAAGGTCATGTTGTCCCGTTTCCTTGGCAGCGTTCAACGTCCGCACTCTAAGACATAGGGCAACCGGTTGCGATGCCCGCACGCAGTAACGAGTATTCCGTATCCGAAAATAGGGTCAATAACCCTTATGTGGTTGTTGAACTAATTGTGCCCGGCTTGTCCTCTCGCTATTGGTTGCACGCACCCGGAAATACTGATACGGCAATCACTGGTGAAGCTGGGTTAGGCATCGTTCTCAGCTCCAAGGCTGAGTCATTGTTGGTTGGCTGGATTCCGGTGAACAGCCGTTTGTGTGCAGCCGTTTTGGCGACATCAACTAAGGTCGATTCACGAAGTAGTACAAAACGCTGTTTGTTTATGGTTTCCGTTTATGATCCCACCGAATGCAGTTTTGATGCTACGAAGGACACATTCTACCACAAACTGAACACGCTACTTCGCAGCGCTACTAGTTCAGATACCATAGTATATGCAGGGGATATGAATGCACAAGTATTTCGTTCCGGAGTATTTGCGTCGAAGCTAAACATGCCCTGGTACTCTGTCGTATTTCCATGAACTTTACCGGGAGGCATACCAAACGTCTCCCGCGATTGGTTACTGAGAAGTTACCTCAAGCCTACTAGGATGCACTGGGTACCAACCACTCGATCTCTCGTGCTAATGACACTGACTTTGAGTGGAATAGGATCTCAGCCACCATGCACGACGCATGAGCACCTGATATTGATACTATCGCCACCAGTCGATGAACCAGTTGGAATCCGGAAGAAAACTCCCGGCGAGCACTGAGCACAATGGGATCAGGAGGACTATTAGGCGCGAACCAAAGCGGAGCCTGTGTGCTGACAAGAAAGTCTGGTGGATCAGTCGGGCTGAAGAACTGGAGGAGGGAGGAGCAGTAGGCAACTATCCCAAGCTCTTCCAGCTGATCCGCACCACTGGTCCCAGGAAAGCAGGCCTTAGTGAGACAATCAGAGACAGCGCGGGTGCACTGATTCACAATAAGAAGCACCGTATGGCTCGTTGAACGGAGCATTTCAAGATCAGTTCAGTTGGCCTGCTTCCGGATCCCTTCCTACTCAAGTGATGTAGGCTGAATCATGGATGGTTAGTTAAGAAGCTCAGTCGGGGGCTGAGGTCCGAAACGCTACTACAGCCCTCAATCGTTCTCGTGTTGCTAGCCCGGATTTCCTCCCACCTGCACTATTTAAGGTTAGAGGCGCGGTCCTCTGCAAAGCAATGACCTCCCTGTTCAAACATGTCTGGAAGGAAGACACCGTCCCGGCTAACTGGAGTGAAGCGATTATAGTGGCAATATACACAAAGGACAGTTGTACCGACTGTGTTAACCACAGGGGCCTTAGCCTAACCCCGGTTGTGGGGATTACCGTTCCCCAAACGGTAATCCTGGATTAGGGAAGAGCAGGTAGGTTTCTGTCCAGGTCGTGACTGTATAGACAACTCTGCGGCAGGTGCTAGAGCAACCCCAGGCGTGCCGCAGACCGACAATAGCTGTGTTCCTCGATTTCAAGGGTGCATCCGACCCAGTCGATCGATGCATGCTGTTCGGAATACGCGCGGAAAAATGCGCCCGTGAAAAAGATGAACTATTTGTTTGCTCTGTACCCGAACACCACAGGCCGCGTCAGGGTCTACGGAGAAGTGTCTGATATCTTTCCGACCACAAGTGGGGTCCGTCAGGGTTTTCCAATTTTCTTCTTTTTGTTCACTTTCTTCGTGGACTCAATCATAGAGTATTTACCTGCGTAGCTTCACGATGCATGCGTTGGGGTGCTGCCTGGTGGAAGGTTAGTTGCCCTTGATTATGCGGACGATGTCATCTTGCTGTTTAACTATGTTGGGGCGGGCGCAATCAGCCCTGAATAGCTTTTATTGAATGGTCCCATTACATTTCTTACCTGCAAGGTGCAAAGTTTCGCTGCAGGACCACCAGCCACTTGATGACCCCTTAACCCTTGATAGCGAGGAACTCGAGGTAGTTACTCAATACCTCTACATTGGCAGTTGTATCATCAACGATGGGCGCATAGAAACTGGAGTCAGTTCAGGCATTGCGAAAGCTAGAACTGCCTTCTTGAATCTGCGACCTCTTTGGCGATGGAATATGGTTTTCCTCTGCCATGAAGGGCGTATTTGCGAGGCCACAGTGAGAGCGGTCCTGCTCTATGGTAGTGGGACTTCGCTCCTTAGACCTGGAGATCTGTGGCTCCTTCAAGTATTTGATCATCGTTATCTACGAAGCATTGCTAGTGTCGGATTGCACCAGCCAAGCGCCTAGCTCAACCACTTGCCGGATTCTTTCAGCGTTGTCTAAACGAAAACGTTGTTCCGGCAAGGCGGAAATGTGGTATTATAACCCCATTCACAAAGGAAGACGTCGATCTTCTCCCACTAATTACCGTTCGGTAAGGTCTCTCCCTGTTCTCGCCAAAGTCATGGAAGCGATCATCGCGGACGTACAGATGGGCTACCAGGAAAGCTGCAGCATGATTGCGCCGGAGCAACAAAGCTTTCGACAATACCGATCATTTTCCACGAATCTGCTGATAGCACGTGACAACTGAACCGAAACAGTCGACGAGGGAGCAGGAACCGATGTTATTTACATGGGTTTTTCGAAAGTCCTCGACGATCGAATCCATCTGTACAAACTGCAGCCGTACGGCATCGCAGATCCAGTATTAGAATGGATTAATAATTCTCTCCGCGAACGGCAATTGGAGGTTGGAGTCCGAACACCACTGTCCGAACCGATTCGACTGGAATTCATCTTACCGCAGAGTTCGTCACTTGGGCCTTCCCTGTTCTTAGTTTTCATCAACGATCTAACCAGAGCTATCGTCACAAACTTTTACTTTTCGTGGACGACGTTAAAATTTGGCGGATGATCAAAGGAATGGACGACCACGAGATCCTCCAGCGCGACCTCGATGAGGCCTGTCATTGGTCGGTGAAGAATGCACTACCATTCAACGTGGACAATTGCCACGTTGCCCACATCCGCCATCGACACGCCCACATCTACACGCTTGTGGTGTATGACCTGCAGACAGGCTCTCAGAAACGTGACCACGGTTATTTCAGTCAGAAACTGCTTCAAAAGAAGGTAACCAACAAGTTGGGCTCTTGCGGAGGGCATTCGGGAGTTTGATTTCATCCATCTGCTTTCTGATGCGTAATGTGTACGTGTGTCCCAACGTCGAATACTTAATCCAAGTTTGGCATGTTTAGCTAAAGCGTGAGGTTGTAGCGCTCGAAACTCCCCAAGGCCGAGCAACAAATTGTGTCGAGAGATTGCACAATCTTCCGTACCAGCAACGACTGAAGACACTCGGAATGTTCAGCGATCGCTACCGGCGGCTACGCGGAGACCTCATATTAGTCTATGTACTGAGCGGCACCACTCACGTTTGCCGTTAGCTACTGAAACTCGGCCCGAACACCAACCTCAGAGGCAATAGCTTGAAATGGAATCAACAACACAGTCGTCTAGAAGGTAGAAGAAATTACTTCTCCCTCTGGGTCTGCCAACCCTGGAATGCCCTTCAAAACTCAGTTGTCTGTGCCCCACCTTAGCTATTTGCAATAAAACGATTAGATGTCAAACTGAACGCTTTACACTTTGTTACTTGGACGGATATTCTAGATTTGTTCTGGCTAACTAGCCACTTTGAATTTATCACCCACAATGAAGCGCGTAAATTTGGTGCAAAGGGGTGAGCGATCTGCCTGTTATTATGAGTAGTAACCACTACAAATTTTTATTTTGTTTTACCTGTACTATCTCGCTTCCATAAACACCCGACTTAACACAATTGCTTTATCACTTTACCCATGTGTATTTGACTTGGTCCACTTAGGTAATATTTGAACTTTAATTTCTTCTATTACCAAACTACGGGATATATTGAGCATGTGCTTTGTACCCGTTATAAACCATTGTTCCATAGTATGTCCGCAACGACGATGTGCGTAGGCGACTACACTAGGCAGCAACAACCAAGCTAGTTTCTTGGAACAGTAGATAGCACTGAATAAGTTGTGTTGGCTTGGACACGTACTACGTATTCCTGGTCACCGCGTACCTAGGAGGGCCTTGTTTAGTCTGCCAGATGTAGGGTGGCGTAAGGCCCGAGGTGGGCAAAAATTAACTTGGCAGCTGGAAATGTAGTCACTAATGACCGAACTCAGTGCCGTCGGTCAGCCTCGCCTTCTAGGCTGGAGCCCACGTGACCCAGCTTGTGTT